GCACAACCTGCCAGACAGAGATGAGGGAGAGCACCCGCACATAACTGACTGCTTTGTGGCAGGATGGATCAGAGGCCTTATCAATATGTGATGGAGAAAATGCAGTGAGGGAGCAGAAGAAATCCAATATGAGAGTATCATTGCAAATGTGAGAGACTAGTCAGGTCTGTGCTCCTGTCTCTAAAAGAGCTGGTGTGAGACTGCATGTTACTGACAGATTTATTTTAGAAATGTTTTATATCCTGCTTTTAAAAGTGAAAAAAACCAAAAGCAGTACACTAAGCAATTGCAGTTTGGTTCTTACACTCTGGTTCTTATAAGTAAAATAAATATGCAGTACTGCAATACTGCCTCCTTGCATTTCAAGAAAGAAATTGCTTTATTGAATCAAGACAGTGGTCCGTCTAGTCCAGTACGTCATCTTCAAATACTGGACCTTAATATAGCAACAGAGCAGGCAAGAAATATTCCACAGAGAAAGAGGCCAGCATATAACCAAGACTAAAAACTTATCTATTTAAAGGGTTTATTTACTGACTCATTTATTAATATTTTGCTATTTATACAACCAGCTAGGTTTGTTGAACTGTGATTGTTTATTATTTACTTGTGAAGTTTGCCAATGCAAAGCACTTTCTGCCACATTAGCTTGGATTTGTGATACAAACATAGAAGATTACCAAACACCCAGGAGTCAAAAAAGCTATGTGTTCTTTCACCTGAGTGCTACCCTGTATCGTGGCTTTCCCCTTGGCATGGTTCAAGGGATGCTCACAGCTGAGGCGGCTGTATACAACGTTGTCCTGGTGCCAAGAGACCTGTGTTCAAGTTTCCTATTACAAGATCAGCAAGATGTGAAGTGAGGCAACTAGAAAATGCAAGCTATGAACACAGCACAGATTAGGAGGTTTGATAAACTTCAAAGATGAGGGGGGAAAGCATTTTCTAACATTTACACATGCAATTATGTAAATTATTCTTCCACACCACAAAATATATAGGACCTTCTCCTATAAGAGTTTAGTTAAGGACTAAGGATCAAATCCATACAAAGCATTTTTCAGTGCTACTTCAAGCAACAGCTTGAAGTGCATTCTACAGATCACTCTACTGATGCATTCAGACACAAGAAAAAGCTAAGAAAGCTTTTTTCAGCGACTTCATGCCATTTTATCTAACTATGTAGTGGCATGCCATACCTGGTAGTTATATTAATTACTTTAACTAGTAAAGCATAAGGTCTTTGCTTTCTCGTTTCTATCTCCAAAGTGTTTTTCAGAACACACGACATGAAAGAAGCTATATGAAGATGCCTTGAATTGTTTATCTTAAAAATGTGACTGTTCTGCACTAGTAGTATGAAAAGGTACCTTAGTGGCCATTATTATTTTGTTATCTCTTTTGATAAATAATTCACTACATATGGCAAAGAAGAGTAGCTGGCTTGGATATATAGAGAAGCAAAGCATAAACCCCACTATCTTCCCAAGTTCTACAAGAGCAAAAAGAGATAGCTCTGTAGCTGTCACCAGGAAAAATGAACAACATTACTGTTGATGTTTCCACATTCATTCCTATGTCTGGTGAATGTTATATATCTGAACTTAGTCATGGGGAGAAGTGTTTCAACATAAATATTAACAGTTTATAAAACCAAATCAATGAGCCAATTTTCCTGTTGAAATAGCTCTAAGAGTGAACTTCTGTTTATAAAAAATATTTCAAATGTGAAAGTGTGTGCTTACAATGGACTATGTGAAGCTGAGTATACTATGTAATTGTTTTATCATGCTAAAAAAATCAACAAAGCACAAGCAAAATCCTTCTAAGTAGTACACTCTTAAATTCAGTGATCTAAGGATAATGGAGCAAATACTCCAGCTGGTTTAAAATGTCAGAGCTGCAACTACTCCAAGGGAGCAATGAAAGTCTACATCAGCTGGGGATAACCCTCAACACAAAAATGGTCATGAACAGGGACAGGTCAGTATTCAGTTCTGCTGACATAGGACCCTTCTGTTACATTCATCCTTACATAAATTTTGCCTCAAAGCCTTCAAAATTCAGCATTTCAAAAGGTAAATGAAAAATATATTTTCCAATAAAAAGCAATTGCTACCTAAATTACTTGGACATGCAACAGAAAAATGATGAAAGACATTTAAATGAGATATTTAAATACAGACTGGAAATATGAAACTGAACATTAATTAATTAGATTGTAGGGTCTTCTGTTGCTTTAGCCTCTGTATTACCATGCAGTCTTTGTTTACTGCCATTTATCTTCTTTGTTTGATGACATTTGACTAATAAATACATTGATGAATTGCATCTGTAAATGCCATCCATACATCACAAAAATAGGATGTACTCAGTGCTTCTGGCACACTGAAGCTGAAGGATTTTGTTTTATTTGAACTTTCAGTACTTAACAAAGGAAATATTACTGCTCTGCTGGATAAATTTCCTGATTTTTATTTTAATTTTCAGTGAGCAAACAGCTGCAGAATAATGTGACTTAATGAAGCATTTCTAATAAAATCCTGCAGAAGATAAAACAGAGGCATAGAACCACTTGCTCACTGATAGTTGTATCATTCAGAATAATTTTTCAAGATGGTGATCACATTTCTGTGTAGATGAGTATTAGGCATTGTGATTTTCTGTCTTCCAAGTCAGTGATTTACTTTAGTGAGATAACTAGTTAGCACTGTTGCATTACTCATTTATAGTAAGCAAAACATACAACATAATAAATGTAACATCTTTCTAGTACATTATTTAGGCTTTACACTGGTTGGTAAGTAGCAACACAGACAGCAATAGATTTTGGTGTGAAGATGCTCAGATCTGAAAAACTTCATGGTTATATTTTGCTTACCAAAAACATACTGCCTATATTTGCAAAGATGTCCTTTATCGTCTGTCATCACTTGTGATGAAATCATGAAACTTCTTGGCTGCTACATTCTTCTCTGCCATAACAATTCAATATAAAGTATTATTTGCTTTATGTAAATCTAGATAGAGCTCAATGAATCATCACTTTGCAACCTGCCAGTAAAACAATCTCCAATATCCATCTGTACACACATCTATTTACTTTCATTCAGAACAAGTTTTTCATGTATTCCCCACCAGAATAATCAAGTGCACTACAAGCATCTACACATAAAGCTGAGATCCCTCTGATCATGAGACAGGTAAAAAAGTTACCCTGTGTGTCCAGTATGATTAAAGGTCATCATTCTCTGATTAAAACAGTAAGACAGAATCAAGATTTTATCTCAGCCACACATTACCATCAGTGTATCTAAAATTAATTACATATTTTTGAGGGACCTTCTATGTACAAAAAAATTTGCAGAACCAGTGAGTAGTAAATCTGATTTGTTGTACCAACTAAGCAAAGCTTTCCACTGAAATTATGGTACTGATGTAGTTTACATTTATAATAACTACTGGAAATTGGGACTATGTGAAACAAAACCCACATGGTTTTCAATACTGCCTCAGCAGCATCAGCTATCTGAAATAAAATATTAACAGTGAAATGTATAAGAATTACTTTACTACTGTTAATTATACACTCACGAAACAATTTGGGCATCAGTATGCGATGACAGCCCAATTAATGTGAAAAAGTATAATGAAACCTGTAACCTTTGCCACCTCAGATAAAAATATCTTAGTATGCTCTTTTCCAACTTCAGCTAAGCAATCCTCCTAGCATCACTGAACTACTAAGTTTCACGTGTGTGTACCCAACACTACAGGAAAGAATCTTAATTTCTCATTTTGACTTAAATTAGCCCATAAAGTAGCTTTAAAGTGTTAAACATACAGTAGGCTGAATGCTAAAGTCAGAAACTAGTTGCTAAGACAGAGAAACCAGATAACAATTATCATTTAGTCAATAGTAATTTAAATGTATCCACTGTGGTACAAAGACCCTGTGACCTGGAATCCTTTATGGGGTTTTCAGAGAAAGGAGTTGAGTATGTTTATTATTTAAATTGACAGTTCTGTAGGAGTCAAAGCGGTTCTTTAAATACTGAGCCAGTGTCTACTGGGGGGAGGGTGGTAGATTTAGGAAAAAAAACCAAACTGATAAGCTCCAAGCAAAAGCTGGAGAGAACTGTAGCTACACATATAATTTAAAATGCTTTAAGCAATCATTTTAACTCCCATAGGAAGGAAACATACAGAAGAGCCATGTGTGGCAGCCCCTAACAGGGCAGTGCAAGGTCTTGCTCTTTATTCTTTGCATTGATAACCTGGTGTCCGATCCTACAGCTCCACAGGAATAAAGCAGGTTATTTTAAAACTTTCTCTGCAAAAGCAACGTGGATAGACAAGGTATGTTTCATACTGTATATGCACAACTTGAAGAGCACTATACATAGAAAGAAAGGGAGCCATGAACCTTCCCTTTATTGCATTTTTTTTGCTTGTTTGTTTTGTTTTTAGAGGAGGCATAAAGCGACTACCCCGCTCTTCCAGCCGTTCTCTCCAAGGCGGCTGATAAAGCGTCCGGGCACAGTAACCCGCAAGTGCCCGAAGGTCCTGCGAGTTAGCGGCCACCCGTTCCACAAAAGTTGAAAACCGGGTGGGTTCTCCTGCCCCCCTCGCCTCCCTCTCGGCATTGTTGAACTAATTTTTTTTAAGTAAAATCAAAGAAAAATAAAAGGGAAAAAAACAAAAGCCTTGAGAATCGCCCGGCGAAAGGCTGTAGCCGGCTGCTCCAGGTGCCCAGCGGAAGGACGGCAAAGCAGCTCTTCTTCACATCTGGCTTCCAACTTCAGGGCAGCGGGAGGGCGCAGCCCGCGGCAGCCGCTCCGCACACCTCACAGCTCACACCTCACAGCTCACACCTGCCCCGCCGCGCCCGCCGCCCGCGGGGTCTCCGCCAAGCGCGAAGGGAATCACCCGGCGGCCCCACCAGCGCCCGGACAGACACCCAGACAGACACACGACCCTGGAGCGCTCCGCTCACATACCTGCAGTCCCGATTCTTGCTAGAAATGCCTAGCGATCGGCCGCCTCCCGTCCGGGGGGAGCTCCAGCCTTACCGCCCGGGCATCGCCGGCACACGCCCCGCGCCCCGCCAGCGCTCGGGGGCATGGAGCGGCGCCGTGCCGCGCTCCGCCCGGCTCCCCTCGGCTCGGCCGGGCTGGGGCAGCAGCCGTCCGCGGGGCCCGGCTCTCTCACCCCGCCTCTCTGGGAATACACCAGGAATCCAGCTAAGAGATGCTAGAGGAAGGGTGAAGTAACTGGGAATGGAGAGAAGACTTGAAGTGTTTCTTGTGCACGATTTCAGAGTATTAAAAAAAAAAGGAAAAAAATAGAGAGGTCGAAGTATGGTCGAGCTATTGCAAAAGCAGAGATGGATAAGTCCTGCAGCCCAGTACGGCTCCGGTCCCTACGCCAGCTGCGCGTGGTCCCGGTTCAGCCCCGCCGGCAGAGGAAGGAGGAGAAGCGGCGCGTCCTGCAGCAGTCCCTCCGTTAGAGCATCTCTGATTGGTGTGCCTTCCACACACAGCACGACTTCCCCCTCCTGCTGCCTCCTTCTCTGTCTTGGGAAAAGTAATTGGAGAGCGAGAGCTTCACCTTCAGCCGCCTCCCGCACCCAGCCTGCGCGCACCGCACCGCGGAAGGGCGCGGAGACGCCCCGGGCGCCCGGACAGACAGAGGCAGTTCCAAGCGCGCCCTCCGCGGCGGGGGGGAGGGAGGAGATGGAGGGAGGTGGGGAGAGGAGAGACGCCCTTCTCCTCCCCCGTATTTATCCGGCCACTCGCTGCTCTCCTCCCCAGCCCTTACGAGGGAGCAGGTCCCGGCGGCCGCCGTTCTGTGTGACCGAGCAGCGGGGCTCAGCCGGCAGCGCCCGCCGCCCCCGCGCACTGGGGCTGGGGCCGCCTCCCTCCGCCGCCCGCCCCGCAGCGCGGCTCTCCCTTCTCTCCTCTCCGCTCCCAGCGGCGGGGCGGGGGTGCGAAGTTTACGCCCAGGCGCATGTGGCCGGGGGATCCCCGCGGACCCCCGGGGCCCCTCTGCCCTGCGGTGGGTGGCCGGGGCACCGGGCGGGAGGGAGCGGCCGGGCCGGGCTGGGCAGGGCAGCTGCCCCGGGGAGCGGGGGCCGCGGCTGCCGGAGCAGGGGCAGGAGGGACGCGGCGGCGCCGGCGGCAGCCAAAAACTGGACTGTGTCTCCCTCCAGAGGGAGAAGGGAGACACGCACGGCAGCTCCGGCGGCGGGAGAGCCGAGGACTCGGCCGGGCCCCTCTCCCCCGGGCGGTGGGGTGGCGAGCTTGGTCCGAGCTTGGTACCTGCGCTCGAGAGGCAGTGAGTAAAGGTAGTACAGGTCAGGTCCTAAAGACCTCTTGTGTCTCTTAAGACACCTTGAAAGACGGGTGGCGGGTCGTGGTTGTCTGCCACGACCATTGATTAAAAAGGGGAAATGTTGCTGAGTGAGGATAATTAAAAGCAGAGTATTGTGGTTTATTTTGCTGTGTTCTGTGCCGTTCAAAAGGTGGTGCAGAGAAGTGGAGAGGAGAGAGCTAAAAAAGGTGAGAAAGAAACCTTGTTTGTTACCGTGATATTAGAGTCAAGTTCTCAGTTTTGTCCTGTACTTCTGGTCCACTCCCGGATTAAATGGGGATGAATGCATACAGCATTGAGAAGTACTGATATATGTGACCATCTATTGGGGTTTTTTCAATTCTACAAGCTAGTATAATGGCCAGTTTTCAGAAAAGAACCTTTTGCTCAGTCCTTAACTGTTACCACATCTTACCTGATGTTCATAATCAATTGTCAGAAACAGAAGAGGGAAGGAAAACTGTTCTCTTCTTGTTATTGTCCTTGCTAGAGCTCTTCCACGCAAGCAAGCATCTGTAGAATGTTTGAAAATTTTTTTCCAAAGCAGACTGAAAGATCCATACAGTTAAAAAAAAAAGGCGGGGAGGGGGGGGGTAAAATGAAGGCTTAATGTAGACTACTCTGCATGCAGTGATGCAGCTGTAGGATGAAATACAAAGAGGCTGGTATTGAAAGGGCAAGTTAAAAGTAGCGTGGTATGTGACTGTCACAAGAGCTGTTGCAGAAAGCACTGCAGTACACACTGCTGGATGCTGACTGCAGCTGAATTAAAAGACTGCTGGTTGTAAAGACAAATATGGTCTTGTCTCATTCATTGGAAGGTGATACAATAACTTCAGAATTTCCCTATTTGGTGACCATGTTTCTAGATTAGCAGACAGCTAAAAAATAATTTAAAGGGAGCCGGAAAAAACCAAGATTGTGCTGCTATCGGCACCACAATGTCAGGAAAAGAGATAGATCCAGACTCAAGTTGATCCACAGGGGTTGGATGCTCCTGCCCCACCAATTCCAAATGACCAGGGGTCCTGAATGCATAAAAGGTAATCTTTCCAGCTCCCTGCCTCAGTATAGGACCTTAGGTATTGCTACTTCATTAAAAACAGTGAAAGCACACCAAAAATACAACTAGAGCAACTAAAATGCAACTACAGCAGCTGTTGCAGTGTGGATGTGCAAACACCCTGTTGCTATAGGAGCACATATGTCTATTTTTCCTGCATGCACCATTAAACTCAAGTTGACTGCATCTTGTAAGACCAGAGGTTATTTGGTAGTTTCATGTTGGTATCCTGCTGTTGCAGAAATCTGGCAAACACATATGAAGACACAGAACTCTTATCACCATGTTGAAACAAAGAAGTCCTATGCAAACAACCAAACAAAAAGTAGCAGACGAAGCAGTAAGTAAGCCGACCTGTTTTGAAACCCTAGAATTTTGTCAGTGAAAATATTGAAAAATGTAGTCTTTGTTTATGTCATGATGCTGCTGCGCATGAGCAGTTCCAAATCTCTTTGTACAACATCTGAAAATCTGAACAAATCTGCAGTACTCACACACAGCTTGTGTGACACCATGCACATGAAAGCATGTCCTGAAAGCCATGCTTTTAGAAAGCTTCTCTGGTTGCTTTCACAGTATGGCCAACATTCCTGGGAAGAACTGAAATGATCTGTTGCACCTATAGAGTGCAGCTGGTTTTACGGATGCTTACTTGGTAAGTCTGAGTCATCTCCAAAGGTACCTTTGTACATGCTGCACATGTACAATATGATAAATTTTACCATAATCTAGAAACACCAGATTGGCAGTCTTTGTCTTACACAGCCTGTATTTATATCTTTCTGACTGAAAAATCCCCAGCTGAATACTGTGACCTTAGAGCACAACGTAGTTACAAACCACAATTATTACATGAATGTTCTCTCTTTATTCCTTCAGCTAGTTTCATTTTTGAGTTAGTGTCACTGTTTCTTACTTTTCATCAATTTGTAGGTCTCTTCCATGCTAAAAGACAAGCATAAAACATGAAAATGGGCATTGGCATTTGCAACAGGTGTAATATTTGGAGCAACTTCAGCAGTTCCATTTCAAGGTGAATAGCACAGCATAAAAATCAGGAAAGTAAAATTTTTTTCTGACTAGTTATGTGAGGATCTGGTGTGTATATCTTTTAGACACTAATTTTACTCAGAAGTATGCATTTTCTGAGCTGCTAAATAGAAAAAAAAAAAAGGGAAAATTTATATTTTGATAGCCACATGTAGATTAGTCTCTAAGAATTGACGCCAATGTCAGTACTGTCAGTACTGTTAATTATATAGTTTTTCTCTTTTATCTTTTTGAAGAGACACCTCCCCTCCCACTACTCACCATGCTAATAATCTAAATTAGCTAAAAGTGCCAGTTTTGGCACTGCTTTTCATTTTAGCAGTCAGGTTCTTGGTTTCTCATTTTGTACCTAAAGATTAGGATTTTGGTTGGGTTTTCCGCCTATATTAATATTGAGCTTCACATACTAAAATAAGCAGTAGCTCAGACCACAGCACTCACCAGGAACACCTCAGTGTAAGGAGATGTATAGTGATGTAGAGCCTGATGTACAGCAACATGCTACAGCACTCCTTTATTGCCATCCCATAAAGCTGGGGAACAGAAAGCAAGGATCTCAAATGTCAGCTGCTGTAAACTATTTGCAGTTATCATCCTGACACTGTGTGAGCTGAGGCAATCCAAAAGTGCCTACAAGTCCCCTTTACAATGTGTGTACAGATATACAAACACACAATCATGTTTTTACCACAGGTGAGAATCTGGTCCACCAAATTTAAGTTCTTTATAAGCTCTGCAACATTCCAGATGTTCCATACAAAAATAAAAGTAATTGACTCCTGAAAAGCTGATGAAAATGAAAAAGTGATGGAGCAAAGTTATTCTGGGATTCCTTAATAAGTCTCCCACAGGCATTTCTAAAATCATGCTAGGTATTGCATTTTGAAGAAAAAGGGGTTTTTAACTAGCATGCTGGAATGATCATTGATCTTTCAAAGCTTCCACATAAAATGGAAAAACTGATGCAAAAAAATAACAGAAAGTAACCATTTTTGGTTTTTTTCCTACAACATTTCAGTTATACAGATAAACACTATGGTTTGGGGGTTTTTACCATTTAAAACCATTCTTCTAAGATATAAATCACATATATGCTTGTGCATGCTAACATAATGCTGTTTACATGGTAATGACATCTTCCAGGACAGGGAAAAACAGAAACAATAACAACAAAAGCAAAGGAAAAGGGAAAAAAAAACAACCCACAGGCACGTGTATATTCAAGATAATTTTGTGAGCAAGACTTTATTGCTTTTATTCAAGAGGAGAGAAGGCTGGGAATCAGGGAGAAAATGGGGTGAACGGGATTTCTGGAAGTCTGGTTGGGCTGAAGATCCCAATCTCAGTCATGCATCGGCTGACTTCAGAGTTAAATCAGGTTGCTTAGGACTGTGTTCAGTGGTTTCAGATACCTCCAAGGACTAAGATTGTGCCTACCACTCTGTCCCTTTTCTGGCCTTTGACCTCCCTTACTGGAAAGGTTTTCCTTCCTTACATCCAAACAAACTTCTCTGAATTTCTCTTTCTGCCTTTTGTGTCAATTGCCTCAACCCTTTGCTATGCACTTCCAAGAAGCCTCTGGCTCCATTTTCCTTGTAACCATCCATATGCAGTTGATTACAGCAGTTTTTCTTCCCTTTTCCTTCTTTAAAGGGCCTGAGCCAACACAGCTACCAGTTTTCTTATATGTCATGCCTTCACCACTGCTAGTACACCTGTTCATCTTGTTCATCAGCATCTCCTTGTGTTTTTCTGCAAGAATGTTTGCTAGATAGTGCTAGAAGCTTGTACTGTTGCATGGGGTTACTCTGCCCCAGGTACTGGACTTGCATTTGTCTTTGAAAATCACGAGGTTTCTGTGAGCTCAATTCTCCAGCCTGTTTTCAGATTTCTGAGCATCAGCCTTGCCCTCCAGTTTATTGACAGCTCCCAGCATCTTGGTATCATTTCTGGGAGAGTTTGCCACTGTCATCCAGGTTGTTGGTGAGGACTGTCAGCAGTTCAGCTCCAGTGCTGAACTTGGGGAAATGCCACTAGTGAGCAGCCACTGCTCTTCAAGCCTTGCAGTTCCATCAATCTGCACCCATTTTTTAAACTACCCCTCCAGCCTAGGTCTGCCCAGTTTGGCTATAAGGATGTTGTGGTACACTATGTCAAAAGCCTAACTAGTCAGGATAAGCACCCACTGCTCTTCCCCAGACAGCCAGCCATTTCATTGCAGAAGGCAATTATGTTGGTCAGGCAGAATTTGCCTCTACTAAAGCCATACTGGCTATTCCAAATCACCTCCTTGCCCTTCATGCATGTGGAAATTACTTCCAGGAGAATATACTCTATAAACTTCCTGCAAAATAACCTGTAGTTCTCCACATCCTCCTTCTTGGCTTATTGAAATTG